GCGTCCTGGATCCAGTGTCCCATAGGTCACCCCAGGCTTGACCATGTAGTGGACTCTGGCTTCCAGAAGGCCTGGATAGGGCAAGCCTCTGCTTGTGCCACTTTTGCTACCTCCCTGTTGGCCAAAGTGCCTCATGAGGCCAAGGACAGATGCCAGGTGCAGTGAGCTGCTGCCCTATGCTGGGAGGAGCACAGTCACATGGCAGAGGCTGTGCACACCAGCAAGGGAGGGGGCAGCCAGCAGTGGCAGCCTGGCTCTAGGGTTCAGGTCCTCGGGTTGAGAAGGCACAAGCTGGAGATCAGGGCAGTGTGGCGGAGGTGGGTGCTTGCTTTAGCCGGGTGGTCCCAACACCAGAACCCAGCTCAGGGATGTAGGGAAAGGGCCTATGGCCGGTGGGTACTCTGGGAGCTTGAGCTGGGGTGGGTTGGGAAGCGAGTGGGAAGCACAGCACAGGCCCTGCCAGTCACCTGGGTGATGTGTGAGGAGCAGGTGGAACTTGTCCCAGAGTGGGGGCCCCAGTGCTGTGCAGACCAGCTATGTCGGGATACCTGGATATAGGAAGCTGGAGATGAAACTTCAGAACTGTCACTGCATGGATATTTCAAACCATGAGAATTTTTGTAAAACCCTGTAAGGGGTGGTGTCAGGACAGAGTTGAGGGCTCCCACCCCCTATCTGAGCAGTGTCACATCTGTAATTTAGAATTTTTAACTTCTTTTTTTTAAATTTTTTTTATTTTTATTGCATTTTAGGTTTTGGGGTACCTGTGAAGAATTTTTTAGTAGCTATGTTAAAAGATAAAATGAACTTCAGTAATACATTTTAAGCAACCAAATATACAAAATATTACCACTTCCAATTGTATTCAAGTTGCCTTTTGAAAAACAATGTGGCATTTTTGCATTATTTTATTACAAAATCTCCTAAATCCTGTGAGTATTTGATACTTGTAACACATCTCAATTCAGAGCAGCCACCTTCCAAGAACTCAGGGGCTGGTGGCAGCCATGTGGGACAGAGCAGCTGTGGGGATAGGGCAGAGGAGTGCGAGGGCAGGGGCCGGAGCCCAGTCAGCCCACAGAACCCCGGAAGGACTTGAGGGAGGGATGGTGAGAGAGCCAAGGAACTTCCCTGCCCCGTGGGGTAAACTGCTGGGTGAGTCAGGGCCTCAGGAAGGGCTGCACTTCCAAGAATGGAGGTGGAGGAGAGGTGGGGGTGGGGCTGGCAGGAAGAGGGCCTTGCTGGCTAAGGGCTGAGCCTCCCCAGGGAGAAGATCAGGGCAGCCCAGCAGAGTCCTGCTGGGAAGAGGCCTCACTGAGAGAGCCCATACCCCAGCCCCACCTCACAGGGGATGAAGTCTGGAGAGTATAGATGGGGGACCTAGGGTGGCAGGACAGACTCAGAGCTGGGACAGGGACCCTGTACCGGGGGCAGTGTCCTGGAACTGGCCCTCAGCTCCTGGCTTCACCTGCACAGGATGGAGGAGCTGTGCCTGCATCCCGCTGGCCACCAGGTGTACTTTGGCCAGATGCTACGCATGTGTGATGACATCAGTTTCCCACTGGGTGAGTGGGGCCCTCCCTGGTATGGTGCGGAGGGGTGCTGGGCCTGGGCCTCATGGCGCATCTCCCCAATACAGGCCAGGCCGGCTACGCCGTGTACAAGTATGTGCCCTACAACCTGGTGATGGACGCACTGCCCTACCTATCCCGCCGCGCCGTGGAGAACAGCAGCCTCATGAAGGGTGCCCATTGGGAGTGGCAGCTGCTGTGGCTGGAGCTCTTGTGGCGGTTTCAAATTGGCAGCTTCTTCCATCGCCCCGCCTAGCACCTGAGAGCCCACCCTCAGCCTCCAGGCACCCCAGCTGTGGCCTCCAGGCACCCTCGCCCCTCCACACTGTCACCACAGCTGTAGCCAACCCAATCCTCACACAGATTCACCTTTTTTCACCCCACACTTCAGAGCTACTGGATGTGGGCCAGGTACCTCCCAGTCCCACCCAGGGTGTGGGCGGAACCTGATACCTGCCTGGGAAAGCCAGTGGGACTTGTAGGAAACTCTCCTTGGATGTGTGGGCCCAAGCCCCTACCTCCATGACCCACATGTCCTTGGACCTAGAGGATTGTCTGCCTTCTGCCAGGGGCAGCCCACAGAGCTTGAGCCTCTTGGGGAGCAGTGGCCAGGCTGGGGAGGCCTGCCTGGTCAATAAACCACTGTTCCTGCAGCTGAGAGCCCTGTTCCCACACAGGGTCAGCTCTGGACAGCAAGAGGGAGGGGCTCAGACAGGGTCCCAGAACTCTCAGCCCAGACTCTGGTCTCCAGCATCAACTGTTCCTGGAGGCTAGGCCCCGTGCAGACCTTGCCACCCAGGGTGCTGACTCCACAACTCAGGATCCAGCAGGGCCCCTGGGCTCAGGGCAGCATGGAGGGGACTCATGCAGATGCAGAGGCCAAGCTCCCCAGGTGGGCCTGACACCCCTCCCCCTGGGGCTCCCCCTCAGACTATTCCCTGCCGTCCGGAGTCCTCTACACCGCCCCCCCCACCCCCACCCCCGCCCACCACCACCACCACCACCACCACCACCACCACCACCACAACCACAACAACCATGACCTGCATCAGGCTCCTCCTAGTGGTTCCCACAGGACACTGACCAGGCTGCGGCAAGTACACACTCAGTCCCCTGCCTTCTCCCAAACTCTCTAGCCCCCAGCCCCACGAAGCAGGCTGGATGTGGTCCTCAGGCCCTGGGGCTTGGGTGGGATCCCCATGCAGATGGTAGTGACAGCATCCTGGGACCAGGGCTGGGGCAGGTAAGGCCTGGAGGCTCCCAGTCTCCATAAAGGGGGAGGGGTGGTGGGCTGGGCACACAGCCCAGGAAGGGACCCCCAGGCAGGGTCCTCTGCTGCAGCAGAGGTGGGGGCCCTACCAGGGCTCTGGTTATGGCAGAACCCACAGCTGTCACACAAGCCACATGCAGGCCACACTGAGGCATCTTTATTTCTCTGAGTCACACAGAACTTGGGCCTTGGAGCCTCTTCTGCTTGGAGGCTGCAGCTGCCAAGGGAGTGGCTGAGACCAGAACAAGCACTCAGGTGGGCCCCAGTGCAGGTTGGGATGTGCCCCGCAGAGTGAAAAGGTGTGAGAACCCCCATGCCCAATCTGCCTGGCCCTGAGGCAGACAGTGGCAGGCTGGGCCCGCCTCCCTTTTATGAGACCATCCTACCATTTGGCAGAAAGTCCCAGATGAAGGTGGGGACAGGCAGCCAGGGTCCACCTGGCCTCTCCTCAGCAGGGAGACCCCTGCAGGCAGCTGCGAAGGCAGTGGCCAAAGGTCAAGAAGATGAACTCTGCCCAGCCTTCTGCTGCCTGTGGCTATGTTGGGACAGGACTGCCTTCCTTGTCACACTGGGCAGCAGGAGGCTGCCAGCAACCTCCCAGTCCCCGGGATGCCTTCCCTGCCTGGCAGCACCTCTGCTGCAGCTTTCGGATGAACTCCCGCAGGTTCATTTACAGCATCAGCTCCTGGGATACAGAGGGGCCCTATGAGGATCAGAGTGACCCAGGCCCCTTTCATCCCAGCCTAGAGGTGCCAGGCAGTGAGCCCATGGGGCGACCATCCTGTGAAGCCGGTCATGGCCTGCCAGGAAGGGGTGGAATCTGAGCCTCTGCCCGCAGCAAGGCCACTCAGAATGGCATGTAGGAGGAGAGCAGAAGAGGGCCATGTGGGCCTGGGGAGGGTGGGCAGTGCCCCATGGTTGGCTGGCTCACCCTCCTGTAGGGAGTGGGCCCAGCCTCTGTGCTAGGAGCAGCACAGAAATCCTTTCTGGAGTCTCAGTTCTTCCACTTCAGCCCTATACTCTAAGCCTGGATTCTCAGAGACCAGTGGTGAAACCCCAGATGGAATGGGGTCTTCAGGGCTCAGGGGCACTCAGGCTAGGGCAGAGCAGGCCCAGGCACTGACCTGCAGGTTGGCGGTCATGTAGAAGCCAGCTACCTCCACCTTCTCCAGTGTGCTCTCCTGGTCAGCCACCTTCCGGTCCAGCTCCAGGACGATCTTCCAGTCCATTGCCCGCTGTTCCTCACAGATCCGGTGCTCCACCGCCTGCCATGGGTGGGGGAGGGTGAGGGCGGCTGAAACACAAGTGTCTGCTGCCGTCCCCAGTAGCACCAGCTCTGACACCACTGATGCATCCTCACCACACCCAGGCCTCTCCTCGGCCAGCCAAACCCTGAAGTGGGGCTCCAAGGGGCCTCCACGAATGCCCTGACCTGGGGCTGCCTTGGGACTGCACACGCATCTCTGCAGACACCCACTTCCCCATGGCTTGTTGGTTAAATGCCAGTCTCCAGCTGTCCTTGTGCTCCCTGGGAGAAGGATGGGCCCCTTCCTGGCTGGCTCCATCACCTCACCCCCGAGGCCACCTGCTCTGCAGAGGCCCCAACCCACAAGGAGCTGCTATCCACGGTAGCACTGGTGGGCCTTCACCCTCCACCCAGCCTCAGCACACCTGGTGGGACTCACTAGGCCTCCAGTGGCCCATTCAGGCCCAGGGTAGCCACCCATACCTGAGCCCCCTGCACCCCTTAGCTCAGCCCAATCAGCAGAGCCAGGTGGTACCCACAGGAGAGCTGGGCTGGCCACCGTGCCTGTGCCCCCAGTACCTCTAGTTCTTGCTGCTGAGCCAACTGGAGCACAGGCAGGTTGTGGGGACAGCAGGCCTGCTGGGCTTCCTGGTGCTTCTGCTGCAGCGACTGCCTGAGCACTGGAAGGATGAGAGCCCATCAGCAGGGGTGGGACTCGGCAGCAGCCCTCGCCCATGGGCACCTGCCCTGCCCCGAGCAGAGCAGCCAAGCCAAAGAGGTGTCTGCACTGGGGAGGACGCCAAGCTCCTCCATCCTCCCAGGCCCACTGTCACCCAGGGCCAGGGCCTCCTCTGGCAGCAAGTCTCCAGGGGACTCCAGAAGGTGCAGGGCACTGAAAGAGGGTGGGGTGGGGAAATCTGGGTGGGGCCAGAGCTGCAGTCCCAGACCCAGGGCAACTAGAAGTGGTGGAAGGGAAGGAGAGAGGCTGCAGTTTGAGGGCTTCAGGCCTCACATGGCTACAGGCCAGCAGTGCTGTGTGTGCTCTGCCCCATCATCCATGGGACATGTACTCAAGTGTCAGAGACCACCTCAGGCAAAAACATGGGAAAGGATCCAAGAAGTAGAGACAGGACACTGAAGAACTGGTGAAGAGCATCTGGAGTGGGCCTGACTGTGGGGCCTCTGCATACCAGGAGTGTGGTTGGCCCCTCCACCCTCAGTGCTGCCCTTCAGGGTGGGCAGCTCCCAGCCCCCCACAGCACCTGAGGGAGAAGGGTGGGCACAGACCTGGGAGGCTCCAGGCCAAGGAGTCTGTGTGGCTCTGAGGGGCTCACCTTCGGCCACCAAGCAAAGCTCCATGGTCCCTGCTAAACTGTGCATAAACACAGATGTGCAAAAACTGTCTAGTCTGAAGGGAATGTACAGACGAAGTGATCATGGGACACAAAGAAACCACCATGGTGAAAGGGAACACGCAGCACCCCGCAGATAGCACCAGTGACCAGTAAGTGCCAAATGGCTACAGCTCCCCAGGAAGCTTTCAACATTCCTGGGCTGAATATCTTGGTCTCCAGGAATGCCGAAGACTCTTGGTGAACTGCTAAGCTGTTACGTGTATGTATTTACGGATATCAAGAACTATGGCAAAATGTTAACCATTGAACTTTTGGTGGAGAGCACAAGGGTATGCACTATACTATATTTTGAGCTTTTCTAAATGTTTGAACTTTTAAAATAAGAAGTTTGGGAAAAATAAAACAGCATAAGTGGAAATCTGATGGTGCAGGGGGACCTCACCCTGTGTAATTTGCAGGAAAGGGCTCCTAAGCCCACCAAGCATGCGGCTCAAGTGGGAAACTCTTCGGGTTTCGGAGGGTGTCACAGGGGACAGTGCTTAGGAATTTGATGTGTAACTGGTATGAGGCCCTACGAGGCGTGAGAGGGAACGGACCCTGAAGAGCACTGCACAGCTGTCAACAGACCTTCAACTACTGAGGGGCAACGCAGTTAGGGCCAGGCCAACCAAGCACCCAGGCCTAGGGCCATCCTGCTTGGAAGGGGGTGGGGCACAGGAAAGCCAGAGCAGGCAGTTTCTGCTAAGAAGGGCGGCTGCGCAACTGAAAACAAAACTGTTTGGACCCACTGGTCACCAAAAAGGCGCTCAGTCTCCGCGCCCTTGATTCTGTCAATCTAAGGGACCTCTTCTGAACACTCCCAGGGAAGGGGCCGATCTGCACAGATACCAAGAACGGCCGGGACCCTAACCCTGACCTCTGTGCTCGTTCTGTAGACGCAGGCGCTGGTTGTACAGGCTCTTTTCGGTGAGGTGCTGGATCTCCAGTAGCCCCTGCACGATTTCGAACACGGTGCCGTCGAGAAGCGCCAGGGCCAGGTCGCTGAGCGTGGTGTAGGACAGGCGCTGCTGGAAGGAGCTGCGGGCAGGGGGTGCGCGGTGAGCGCCTGCGGGACCCAGGCCGGCTTGGCTGGCCGCCGCCCGCCCCGCCCCGCCCCGCCCCGCCCGTGTACCTGGGCAGCTCCTTCACCAGGCTCTGCAGCGCCGACAGCAGCTGGTAGTGTCGTTCCTGCTGCCGGGTACCGTCCGCCACCTCCTCCAAGGCGCCCGCGTAGCGGTCCATGACCCGGGCGCCCGCTAGCCGCCTGCTTCAGCGACGCACGCCCCCAGCTTCAACCAGAGTGCGGCAGGCCCCGCCCCTTTTACGACAGTTCGGAGCACAGCGTGCCCGCCCGGCAGCCCCGCCCGCCCCTCCCCGCCGCGCGCCCCGCCCCTCCCTCCCCGCCGCGCGCCCCGCCCCCTGCGTCATTCAGAAGGAGGCGTGCCCAGCCCCTCCGCGGAGGCCTCGAGGAGGGTTTCTCTCTGCCGGGGCTTGCACCTGCGTGCTCCCTGCACGACTTCACAGGAGAGACTCTGTCGCCTGGATATTGCCGGACTTCAGAGGATCCCACGGGCCCTCGCTGAGTCAGTGCGGGCTGAGGTCCAGGCTCTGCGCTGGTGCGTCTGAGACGTCCAGGTCACCGGCCTCTCCCTAGAGGGAGGGGTCTCGGGCCAGAACCTGCAGGACCTGGGCCTAAGGCACCGTCCGGGGCGAGCAGTGGCGCCTCCGGGTATGAGACTGACAGGACCACTCTAGAGCCTCTGGGCCAGGACAGTCGGAGCCGCAGTCCCCATCTTGGGCTGCTGTGGTCGCCCTGGGCTGCCAGGCCTCCAGCCCCAAACGTCGACACAGACTGCGCCCTCCCGGCTACTCGGGCCAGCTGCTGGGCCGGGGGCTGGTGGGGGTTCTGGTGTCTAGGGCTGAACCGGCAATGAACAGGCTTTAACAGGAGGGGTTGGGGTGGAGGAACGGCTCCAGCAAACGCCCTGCCAGAGCTGGGTCAGTTGATGGGCATGAGGACCAGTGTGGCCAAGCTGCGGAAGCCAGCTAGGGCAGGAGAGAAGGGCAGGGGGTGCACATTGCAGAGGCTGCTGGGGGCTTGTCCAGAGAGCACCAGGGGACACGAAAGTGCTTGGGGACACAGATACAATCAGACTTGCATTTCACCAGGCACTCTTTAGCTGCCTATGCGATGGCTGGGCTCTTTGAGATGATGCTGCTTTGACTGGGTCAAAAATTATGATCGGTTTCCAGAGAGAACACTGGTTAGTGATTGGCTATGGGGGGGAGTGGGCATTGAGCCAACTGCAGTCCCCCTGATGTGCCAGCATGGTCTCTGGTTTTCCCCAGGATCTGTTTCCTCAGTCCCTGGCAGGATTTGCTCCCCGGTGCTCTTTTTGATCCCTTCCAGCCAGAAACCAGAAGTGAATAAAGTGACAACAAGCAGACCAATGCCACTGCCGTGGAGAGTGGGCCACAACCCAAAGTTGGTCATGCGCTGGACACCCTGCCCTCCAGGCCCCTCAGAGTGGCAGGAGCTGGAGGTGGGACAGCTTATGGGAGCTGAGCCTGCAGCGAGTGGTCAAGAGCCAGCTGGGGCTGGGCCTGGTCACACTGTCCCCTCCGCCAGAAGTCATGGGTGGGATAAGCAGCTGGGTAAAGATGCCTGCCTGAAGATTTCACCAGTGTCTCTGATCTCAGTCCCCCAGTCCATGCAAGGCATGTGTGTGAGGACTGCGGCCTAAACAGGGCAGCCCCACATGATAATGATATATGCTGCAGCCAGCTGGGCACCCCTGTCACCAGCTCCTCCTGGGTCTGCCAGGTGAGTTGAGGGCTGTGAGCCACAGCAGGGGCAGGCCAGGCCTGGGTTTGGACACCTGCTCCTCTGCCTTGTCCAGCCACTGATGTAGGAAGGTCCCTTCTCCCACCCTTGGTGCAACTTCCGACCTGAGCCAGCTTCCCCAGCCCCCCCAGCACAGTAACACCACTCCCCTAATGGGGATGTCAACCTAAAGAAAGAAACGGAACCACAATCCATATGGAAAGGTTGTCTGGGCCAAGGCCAAGAGAGCTGCCCGGGATGCCAAGGTGCCCTGGGAGTGCTCCATTCAGCCTTATTTCCAGGAAGTGTTTCAAGACTGAAGGGGACAGGGAGTGGGCTGACATGATGTCAGCAGGAATTCTGACTGCTTTCCAGAGAGAACCTTAGCGATGGGCTAGACAGTGATGAACGGCAGGGTAAGAGTTACAGGGTCCAACATGTGGCTTTTTATATCGACTGGTGTAAGCATGGAACCCACAGAGCAAGTGGCTTCACGAGGTCTTTAGCTGAAGTGGGAGTGAGATGTGACTGCTGTCTCTTTCCAGTGCCTCCTGGACCTGATAATTAAAGGGAGCTCCCATTCCTCAGATACAAAGTACCTTTTCTTTTTCATGGACGTGAGCAATGGGTCACTCAGGCATGGGGACTCCTGGGCCATCTATGGGTCTTCAGGGAGGGCCTGGTCTGGAAGGAGGGGTCTCATCCCCTAGAGCCCCAGGGTGTGTAGGAATAGGGGCGCTGGTGCACAGATATGTGTGTCGCCTGTGTGTGTGTGTGGACACAGTGGGCCCCATGGTTCTTCACGTCGTGTGGTATCCACCGAAGGCCTTTGCTCTGTGGCCACTGTCCACCTCCACTTGGCCTCCCAAGTCCTCCCGGCTGGCTGGTGACACCTTGGGTTAGTGTGGGGTGGCTGATGTGTGTTGGGGGCTGCAGGTCCTGGGTCTCTGACACAGGTGTGTCTGGGGGAGCACACTAAGCCTGTGGTTTAAAGGGATGGACGCCTGTATGCGTGTGTGTGCGTGTGCACGTGTGTGTGTGTGTGTGCACGTGTGGCAAAAGGCTTTGCTGCATAGCTTTTGTATGGGTCTGTCTTCGAGTGCCTTTCTGTGTTTCTCTGTGAGTTTTCCTGTGTCAGGTTGTGTGGCTGTTTGTGGGAGGAAAAACAGCTCTGGGTGTCTTGTTCAACTTTTTAAATTGTAATTTGGCTGACATTTTTCTTTTAATTGACAAATGAACAGTTCGCGAATTGGCAGCCTCCGGAGCCGGAGTAGACTCTGCGACTCCAGTGCAGGCATGTGGTGAAAGAAGCTTTAGGGACAGAAGGAGGGAAGTGACCCACAGAAAACAGAAGCGAGGGGCAGAAACAGCCAGAACGGCTGCGACTTGGTGTTTGCCTCATTTCAACACAGTTTGAACAGTCAGCCACACTTAATTGGCCAAAACTCAGTGACTGGCGGCTGGGCATGGTGGCTCATGCCTGTAATCCAAGCACTTTGGAGGCCAAGGCGGGTGGATCACCTGAGGTCGGAAGTTAAAGACCAGCCTGACCAACATGGTGAAACCATGTCTTTAAACAAAACAAAACAAAACAAAACAAAAAACAAAACAAAAACTCAGTGATTGGCACAAAAGTAGGCTAAAGTCTGTTTACAATTCCATTTAGGTTATAGTTTATGACATACAGAGAAACCTCTAGGCTGAACTTAAAATACGTAAGGAGGTAGTTTTAGGCTGAACTTGATTTAACAGTCCGTTTCCAAATTTCTTCTGATAAAGACACCAGTTAGAGAGTGGGATTAGGGTTCACCCCATTGACCATGAGGTAGTTTAACTTAATCACCTCTGTAAAGAACCTGCCTCCACAGTCACCTCCTGAGGTAACTAGAGGTCAGGACTTCAACATGTGAATTGGAAGAAGAGACAAACTGGGGCCCATGGCAGTCACGGGGTGAGATGCATGAGTGTGTTTCCTCAGCACCTCCAGGTTGGGGACATGGTGTTTTATTGGCCCCAGAGTCAGCCTTTGGGAAACTCTTCAGTTCCTGGCAACGAGCTCCTGGCATGGAAGACTAGACCTGGGCCAAGGGAAATGCCCTTCTGTGTAAGCAGAGAAAGACCACAATAGAAGATTCAGACAAGGCTGGAGGACCCTGTGGGCCTGGCTGTGACACCAGGGTATCCCCAAAGAGATCAATGATCTGCCCACAGGGAGGCACTCTCCCTCCCAGGCCATGGAATGGCCACACATGTAAAGATCCCCATCTCGGCTGGGCACGGCAGCTCACACCTGTAATCCCAGCACTTGGGAGGCTGAGGCAGGTGGATCCCCTGAGTTTAGGAGTTTGAGACGAGCCGAGCCAACATGGTAAAACCCGGCTGGGCACCGTGGCTCATGCCTGTAATCCCAGCACTTGGGAGGCCGAGGCGGGTGGCTCTCCTGAGTTTAGGAGTTTGAGACCAGCTGGACCAACATGGTGAAACCCTGCTGGGTGTGGCAGCTCACGCCTGTAATCCCAGCACTTTGGGAGGCCAAGGTGGGTGGATCATGAGGTCAAGAGATCAAGACCATCCTGACCAAGATGGTGAAACGCCATCTCTACTGCACTCCAGCCTGGTGACAGAGTGAGA